AAGAAACCTACTTTTTCAAATTCGTCAAAAGTAATTCTCTTCCTTTGATGGCTATTGAGTATAAAACTGATACTTTGTTTTGGGCAACCTTTAGTCTATTTTTCATATTTGTTGACAAACCTTCATACCAACAAGAACAAGCATAGTCAAAATGACACTGGATTAAAGCTATACATAAATATTTTCTTGACAAAAAAGATAAACAATCTTTATATCTAAAAAGAAATTTCAAGCGCTGATTAATAGGGTTTTTTTTCAAGAAAATAATGAAGACTTTAACAAATTCACAAGTATTCTTTCTGCCAAGAAAAAAAATAGTAAGTCCTTCTGAAGACATTTTCATATAAATGTAAAATGGAGTTGTTAATTTCTGCAACAATTAAAACAAGTAGACTTGGAGTTTGAGGGAAAAATTCAATATAATGAGGCATTACTTAAGCATGCTATGGTTAATAATAATTACCTATAACATGTACATGTCACCGACGTAATGATTTCCCTTTTTTGACCAATTTATTGCATTCAATTAATTAAAACTTTCTAATCAGCTCGAAACGTTATTTCCCTACTTATAAATAACAAATTAAAAGTATCATTTTTTGTCAATTCGGCTCTTACTTGAAAGTTGAATTGCTCATTAATACATAGATTAAAAACAGTAAATGTAATTATAGAAATTAGACATAATCTGGACACTAAAAAGATGGTAAGGGGAATTTGAAAGTTTACATTCACACGCAAATTGATAAATCACGTTTTCTTTCTAAAAATATCAGCTATGTGTGGTTTTTTTACCATAGGAGGTAGAAACAGGGCCATATCACAGGGAACCAATGACCGAAAGACTTTTCCAATTCTGTGGCAAATGGGCTAAAAAATGAATTTAACTTTTTATGACAATTTATAACATCTTTATCAATCTGTAGAGAATTTGAATTTACATCGTCTCATTATTTTACCCCTATACAAAATTCTTGTTCATGATCAGAATCCTATTTGCAACTTTCCAAGACAAGCTGCAATCTTTCAAATTACGACAAAGTAAATTCTCTTTCATACGTGTACTCTTAAATATAAACTAGCGACTTGTACGTTTTATTGGCTATGTGTTCATATTTCTTTTGTGTCTGTATAGAGAAATTCTGTATTGTAAGACATGTCATTATCATAATACAATATTTACTTTCTTACATGTATTTAATTATTTAAAAAAAACAGCAAGTATATTGTGTTTCTGTTCTTTTTATAAAAAGCACACATTTGTTTCGGTCTCAACTCTACAAAGACTCGAGAAAGATTTTGATTTGATTGATTTTCATTTTTAAATTGCAATAAAACTGGCTACGGATGATAATTTCTCTGCATGATGCATGGTAATGAGTTTTGAATATTTTTCACAAGAATGTAAAGAATATATTCGGACGATATTGTATAAACCGAGGTCCCATGTCGCAGAAGGTGCTACATGTAGCACAAAAAAGATCGCTCACTGCTCAATGGCCCTAAGTGCAAGTATTCAAGTTCAAATCCCAAAGGCAATCTTTGATAGTTTCTAGCTAAATTGATTTTTTTAATGAATAACATAGATATACAAGCTCTGGTGGCCAAAAATTGATTTTTTATGAACAGAAAAGTATATGACGATGTTTTGAATAAGTCATTAGTAACTAAGGTTTCGAAAGTTTGAGAAAAAAATGAAAAAAATATATTCGTAACTGTTTTTAATTTCTTTTTAAAAATACACTATTTTAAGTCTTATACCTTTATGAGAGGATGCCAATATTTTACATGCAAAGTTAGTGTGTTGTTTTATTTGTAATGCATGTTACCAAGAAATAAACATTTACTGTTTCCAAAGTAGTGCTCACCCAGTAAGTGATTGTGTCTTAGAATGAGTGAAAAAAAAATTAAAAGGGCGTCAAACAAATTTAACACCACACGATTACAATTCATGTAAGTATTATCATCCCAGTTTAATGGGCCATCTGTAATGCAAATAAAATGTGCCAAAATCAGCTTGGAAGCAGGTGAACCAAATCACAAATCTAGAATCATATTAGAATAATTTAAAAATATACGTCCTTGGATCATGCATCTTTATCGTTTCATTGGTTGTTTTCTCCGCGTTGTGGAAATCCTGTATTTGGTCTATGTCCGTTTTTTTTTTTTATTTCTGAATGTAAATTTTCACCGTTCTCTTAAGTTGACCGAATTCCTCTGCAACTTGATCTAGCCAATCACATTGCCCTGTTTCCCGATCAAAACATTTCGTGATATTTGGGAAAAAAAAATATCCAAAAAAGGGTTATCATTTGAAAAAAAAAAAGTCGAACTTATTTTGACAACCTCCAAATAATGTCGCTGAAATAAGATGAAGATCGTATAAATAATTGTACTAAACTTGCATCAATTCAGAAAATACTCGCTGGCAAAAATGAATGCATATACATGTATGCAACATGATGCTTGGAAACCGAGTAGTACCTATTTTCAAAAGATTTCCAATTTCAAAGGTCACAAAAAAGCCATATGAAGTAATTTTTAAAAAAAGTGTCAATAATCACAATTCACGAAAAAGAAGTTCTAGCATATCTGTCAAATTATTTGTTATCAATTGTTGCAGAATGAGAAATTCATTCATATCTATATTTCAGACGGGGTTCTACAGAGCTTACGTACTTTTAACATAAACTATCTCCCGAAATGTCTAACAGAAGTTAATTTGTAGGTTATTTTGTCACATTAACTTAAAACAGAATTCCAAAACAACATACGATATGGTTATTTTGACAATAACAAATTCTAGTACACAAATAAAGAAACTCTTTAGACAGGCAAAAGATCGTAAATGTAATTGTTGTGGCGTGGTTATTATTTCAACATGTTTCATTATGTTAATCAAGTATATTACAATAATTAGGTGTCTCTGCATTTTTATTAACTTAAGAGTATGAATCACGCGCACCTTTGATGCTTTTTATGCAGATGATGATTAACTAATGTTTTCATGCATAATCTTAATTTTATATCCCGAGCTGGTGTCCCCTATTTACATTGCAAAAGAACACCTGCAAATTTGGCCTTAATAGTCTTACAACTTAATTTTGCAGAATTAAATTTGAATTATGCACTTTTCAGAGATCTAGAGCCGGTGAAAAAAAATAAACAGAATTGCTATGTTCTCTCATTTGAAATACCAGTAGGTTTGCAGGAAAATCTGTCATGGTTTATGCATAACCTATATGACGGAATTTTCATTTTAAACTTGTTAAAAATGTTTTAAATGATTGGAAATACATGTACATTGTAGGAAAATTTTCCACACTTTTCCAATCCAAAAGAATTTTGCTAGTAGATTTTGTTTAGTGGAGTTAATGGCGGGTCAAATCGAAGCTAGATGGACCCCTTGGCTTGAATAAGTTGAATAATGATAGAATATTGTTAAAGCTTTGCAAAGATGGTTTGCAGACATTCTTTACATAAATATTTGGAATAAAAAATTTCCTTTTGCACCATCCAAAAATTATTTTGTAACGAAATCAATTAAACATTAACATTAATGTATCTGAATCGAGAATCATTGGGACTATATTTGCCTTCTGATACTTTGTCCTGTAAAACGGTCTATACAGAGAATTTTTATTAGTGAAACCCTCGGGATCCCTTACATAATATTCATATTGCTGTCTTTTAATCTTTTTGTTCCCACACTTGTTTATCATGAATATTGAATGAACACGTGTAAGATAAAATAAATAAAGACAACACGTTTTCATAGACTCCTTATTCAAATAAACTAATTCCTACCTTTGATGTCTTAACAGCTGCATGTAATTTGTACATGTAGTTGATATGTTTGCATTTTTGTGTTCTATTAATTCAAAGGTATTAGAAAATTGAAAACAAAATAAAGTAATTACTGGTAAAAAGACTTACAGTGTATGAATTGTGAAACACTGAGCAGGTAGAATGCACTGCAGTACTACTAGTGTATTTCCGTTAGAATAATGGTTTGCACCACCATATACACAGGGCGCATATGCGGGACTTTCGGAAGAGGATAGTACTGTGTAAATAAGGAAAAACGACGATGGAAATTTTTAGTTTTTAATTGGTCCTATCGTGTATTGTCAGTAAGGCATGCAAATACGAAAAGATGTGGCAAACTTTGTGTGGTCTTTATGTTTTAGTTTATTGGGATGTATGGAGCCGTCATATGAATAGAAAATCTATTGTTAATTGATAGAAAGCCATCTAAGAGCACGCAGTACCATATCTGATTTACAGAGAAAAACATGGAATTGAAAAGATATATTGACAATGCATAATTACATTGAAAGACTAAAATGTTCCGTGATTTTCTTGTTTATTAAAACAACCTCATAATCTTATAATACAAGAAAAATAATTTACATACAGTGCTTTAACTTGCCTAATCTTTCTGTTACCCAAAGTACTGTCTTTCACTAATTAACAATTTTCAATTGCCAATGAGTACATGACTAATTAGACTAGTACTCATTGGCAATTAAAAATTGTTAATTAGTGAAAGACAGTACTGATGGACAATGGCGATATAATTTTAAAATCTGCAAAAACTATATCATTCAGCATTTGACACATTTTGAAGTCCAATAAAACATGTGACTACAAAGTGTAAATATATCATGTGATCCAATTTAAAATGCTACAATCATTTTCTGGAATAATCCATTAAAGTACATGGCTGATATGTAAACAAAGGGAAAAATAGTCAAATACACATCATATCAAGATCATGCTTAAGTTAATAAGCTATAATAAGAGAATGCATTGCAACAACTGGAGCGTGTAATAAATTAATAAAAACAAAACAACTACCGGGTCTTCTAGAACCATTAACACAATAAAGACAAACAGTTATTGAATGTTGAGTCGACCAATCTACAGAGAGGGAGGGCTGAACAAAGACGGTCGTTACGCTTCATAGGACCGAGAACGACGCGCGTGCATGTATAAAACAGACGGCAGTCTAACATCTTGTATATTGCTATCTGCCTTCACTACTGGAAATAGTAAGTACAGATACATTTAGCAAAATTGAAATGATAATCATAAAGCTTCTTCTTTTTTTTAGTATGGAATTGAAACGTTCAAGTAAGGTTATATTATTATTAATTTCATTTTCACTTTTGCAGATTTTTCAATATGTTGGAAGAATTACGTCGTGCTCTTCACCACCACGTCTCAGGGTCAACGCCAAAAGTGGCCAAAGAGAGTGCAATGGATGAAATTCGTATGGTGCTTAGACTTTTTAGTTCTGTTTATCAGAATGACTTGGCTGAATTTAAGTGCTTATTAAAATCTGGAGTTGATCCAAACGCAACGGATTGTGAAGGAAATTCTTTGATGCACATTCTTATCGAAAATGGACTTTTTGACATGGCTGAATCATTGGTAACTCAAGGTAAAATTTTTAAACTGTTTATATTCTCAAGTAATTGAAAAAAAATCAAAAGAAAAGCTCTGGAATGAGTTGGTAAACGTGCACTGTAGTTTATATTTCATATTTTAAAAAGATTGTGGTCCTTTTTAGTATCGATTGATATTCATGTCTCATTCTTGTGTTTTAGAAGCATATGATATAAACCAACAAGACCGAAATGGACAAACACCACTAATGCTTGCAGTCATATTGGGCGAAGAAGATATCATTCGACTTTTAGTGCGAGGAGGTAAATATATACTTACAATATGTCAAATGTTTTATATCTGTTATACCAATGTCCAATCAAAAGGATGAACACGTGTTGTACTATAGTACTTATTTCCTATCTGCTTGATTGTAGGAGCTGATGTGAACGAAGTTAACAATACTGGCAAGTCGGCCTTGCTGATTGCTTTGGAGGATGGAAAATTTGAAATAGCAGAGTACCTTATCAAACATGGCAGCGATGTCAACATTGTGGACCGCCTTGGCCAGAGTGCCTTATTCCTCATGAGTAACAATTCAGACCATAAATGTATCAAGCTACTGAAGAAACTTATTAAAGCAGGTAGGTTTTTTCCTTTTAAAAACGAATGAAGCTTTTTATTTAATAAAATGAAAATAATAGTGGTAGAATCTCTGAAAGGAATTAAACTGGTAACTTACTTTTTTCAGGATACACATTCGAAAAAGACAGGTTTTGGATGAAAGATGAGGGATTTGGATGCTCGCCATGTTCCTGTGATAAATCTGTGACAAAACTTTGGAAGAGACTGGATTGTAGTCGTGCTTCTTTAGACAGAAATTTGAGTATGCACTTTGCCATGAAGGTCACAAAAGTTGGATGAACAGGACTTCCTTTGGTCATTCTACCGTTAACACTGTGATACTTTGACTGTGATAATGTAATTTTTATGTACATGTAACTATTTAACATTACGCTGCTTGTTATGATGATTTAAAGAGTCATTAAAAGTTTGAAATTAAAAATAATTTTGTTATGCTATGATGGTGCATGCACCATTCGACATTTTAGCTTTTATGACTATAGGTCGCTTTGATTCAAGACATCCACAATTTTGTTTCATGATTCGAATTTGGTACTTTACAATACATATAGTAATTAAACAGATATTCTAGCTAGGTAAGAATTTATCAAAGATTTCTTAAACACCGACGAGAAAATAACTCATATAGGGTAAAATTTTGGACCAAAGGATAAAGAAAGCAAATTAGGAATTTAGAAGTTTATACATGAAGGATGATGATTGTCAGCTCTGTACCTGTTAATTTGTCCCAAACAGTCCAGACAAACAATGCACAAAAATTCATGCACTTTGTCGTTTATTTCTGTGCTCTTTGCAAGCCTTTGTCATTGCCCATCTGTGGCAAATCGTAGAGTTGTGTAAAGAGACTATTATCTACTATTTGTTCTGATATTTATACAAGGTGTAATTGCATTCCAATTCATTTCCACCAATTCGACTTTTGAAAAAAAAAATAGAATTATTGACAGAAAAGGTGATTAACTTAATCAGTTTGGTGCATATACAAGTTTACTTGAGACCTCAATTATGACCCTATTGGTAAACAAAGAACGAACTCGAGATAATGAGATGCACAGGGCCAATAGTTGACACAGAAGAACGATCTAGTTTGACAGATGTGAAAGTAAACAACCCCGTCAAGAAAAGCTAGAGCTCAATTCCAAACACATCTAAATATCATTTAAAGTTATTTTTACATGTAGCATCGGTACTCCGAATATTCAAATCAAATATTAATAATTTCTTTTAATTTGTTTAAGCATATTATCAAAACTCTCAGGTTGGACAAGACTAGGCTTTGTTTATAAATGATGTTGCGTGATAAGGCATATTACGATCGATGTTCCCTTAAAAGTTATTTTCAGGGAACATTTATTTCTATTTGCTTGTTTGGAGAAGAGTAAGTTTGTCTACAGAATTTTAAAAGTTGATCATAAATGATCACTGAAAGGGTATAAACAAGTGTAAGGAAACATGAAGTTGCCGCGCAGTAATCATATTCAAAAGTCCATTTAAATAATATAACTCTGAAGCAGAGCAAAAAAGGACCTACAAAACATCGGTTTGGGGATCAGGTGCGATGAAACAGTAAGCATCCTCTGCCGACCAGTCACACACGCCATGTGCTCTTTCCATAGACAGAAAATCATGTGTGTATATAAAAGCATTAATGTAACTTACCAGCTACATGCATAAATTTTACTCACTGAATTTTAAAACTCAAAGTAAAAAATAAAGTTAAAAAAAAAAATATTGCTCAAGACCTGTGCAATTTATGTCTTTGAAAAAATAGTGCATGAAAATTGTCTAATTTAATGCATTTAATTACAAAAATAACTAAAACTATGATCACGGTTGAAGTGACCAGCGTCGGTGAAACCTTGTTTACTACAGATGCAATATTTACACGTGTCCAATACACCGTATCAACAACAGACATTGACCTTGTCCTTACTTTAGTTAATACTCCTGTCATATTAATTTCTAACTTGTGACTCAAACGCCTATTAGGACAAGCGTGACAGATGTGCAGAATGATAAACACAGTCGACAGTCTCTTATTAATAACTGTACGTCACCATTGTCTTAAGGAAGCACCGACCTCTTTGCAATAATTAAAAATTAGGTCGAAGTCAAAATTAAGTAGCTTCATTAACGTAAGATAGATGGGATAATTTATTTGTACTTTATGAAATTAATCTGTTGTTCATTTTGTTCATTTATTACGGATGACATTTACTCAGGTTTCAGAAATCAGAAAGGAAATTTTATAAAGTTTGCAATGTTGAATAAAAAAATGTTCTAAATGGATGAAATAACTAAGTTTTATCTCAATATCAATTTAAAAATTTAATATGTTAGTAGTTGAAGAAAATATACAGGAACAAAACTCAATGTATGGCTATGCAGAGGAAATTCGGACTAAATTTTTCATTTTTCATTTTTGTCAAAATTTTTATTTCTTGCAATGTTAATCACAAAGTAAAGGTTACATGTATTTTAAGACATCATTTTCCAAATGTTATATGTGTTTAAGCTCATAAATTATTTCAAATCAATGAATGCTATGAAATAAAGAAATTCAAAAATATGTACAAAAACCACTCCAGACAAAATATCTCAATAATTTGATCATTGACCCCACATAATATTAATACCATGAGAATGAGGATAACAAAGGTAACCTGACGCTATAAATAATTTAGAGTTCTTATTATTCAGATTTTTGTAATATTTGATTAAAAATAGGAAAAAAATATAAAAATGACAGAGGAAATTCGGACTGTAATAATTATCACGTTTATGGCCCAAATTCTACTCACTTCTTTATATGAAGCAACTTTTTCCATTGCTATAATACATCATTATTTAAAGAGTTTTGTTGCTTGTAATATTTTGTGAGTGAAGAAAATAATGGTCATAGTGTGAAAAATTGAGGTATTTTCCGAGAAATACGCAGGGGCCACTAGCATGAAAACGAGGTCATTGACCTAGTTATTTGAAATTGAAAATTAACACAAGAATCATAGTTGTACAATGTGCGATAGGTTGTTTTTCATTCTTATCAGTGGAATTTTTAGTCATCTGAGTAAAGGTATACCTTAAGGCACTAATATATGAAACTAGTACACGTGATACGTGTTCTACAGTAATACACCACATTAGGTGTACATGTAATATTAATGATATACATACATGTGTATTTTCATTTAATACTGACAAAAGTATCACAAAATGTTTGAATTATGTGCATGAAGCTCAACAAAAAGTTATAAAACTCAAAATTCTAACTAAATAATAGAAAGCGGGAGCAGAGCAAATACATTTCTCAAAAAGCATCAGAGGTTACACATTTTATCTTTTTTAACAAAAATTAAAACCCACCAGGAAAAAAATGATATGGTGAGCTTGAGATAAAAGATACCACAGAGTCTGACACATACGTTTTATATTTGGATATTTTACTTCAAAAAGACGTTAATGGTAATCCAACAACCAAGTTCTATGATAAACGTGATGACTTTCACTTTTCTATCGTCAACCTCCCTTACTTATGCAGCAATATACCTTCATCACCTGCATACGTAGTTTATATATACGCAAGTGCAAGCTTTACGTATGAGCAATTTCTTAAACGAGGTAAACTATTGACAAACAAGTTAATGAAACAAGAATATCAGCAGTTCCGTTTAAAATCATTATTTCGTTAGTTATATGGTCGATACAATGACATTTTCAGCAAATACAATTTACCATTAAGTCAAATGCAGACTGACGTTTTTCATACAATTGTTAGTCCATTATTTATACATTAAATTGACGACGGATTTTTCCGTTATTTCCCGATCATGACAAGGGGCGCACGGCGGGTGTGGCCGGTCGGCAGGGGATGCTCACTCCTCCATGGCACCTGATCCCACCTCTGCTATTTTGGAGGTCCGTGTTTGCTCTGCTCCTATTTTGTATTGTTTTATGGACTCTGATATTGAATATTGTTCGTTATCTCCATATTCTTCATGCATGTATATAGATTTTTTTAAATTTGTTAACGTATAGCTAGATTAAAGTAGTTATATTCATTTGTGTCATTACGATAAACTGTATGTGTTTATCAAGGGTAAAAAAATTCACTAAAAAGTTTCAAAAAAAGTTTGGCTATAATTGTACCTTTTAGACAGATATATAGATGACGTACTGTCAATTACATAATGTAACAATGGTATTTTCCATTCTAATGTAGATACAAGTATATCCCGGTGAGCTTGAGATAAAAGATACCACAGAGTCTGACACATCTGTTTCATATTTGGATATTTTACTTAAAAAAGACGCAAATGGTAATCTAACAACCAAGCTCTATGATAAACGTGATGACTTTTCCCTTAATTTTGCAGCAATACACCTTCATCACCTGAATACGGAGTTTATATATCTCAGTTGATTCGATACGCAAGAGCATGCTCTACGTATGAACAATTTCTAAAACAAACAAGTTGATGAAACAAGAAGTTCAGCTGTCTCTTTTAAAGTCATCATTTCGTAAGTTCTATGGTCGATGCAATGACCTTGTTAGCGAATACAATTTACCACTAAGTAAACAATTACAATGAATATAAGTTTTTTTAAAGCAATATGAGCTGCATTTTTGAGAATTTTATTTTGCTGATAAAATGTGTTATTATGATTAATCTGTATGTAATCTAAACCCTTATGATCAATAAAACCAAAATAAAGTTTAAAAATGTTTCAGAAGAAATATTTCTATACAAGTGAATATACAGAATTATATAAGAAATTATTATTGTACAGGACGACAATAATTCAATTTTGCTTCAATCAAAGCGTATAAAAAGTTCTTTTGTAGAAAATATGAACAACAGAAGTTTATAAATGTTCTATTTTTCTGTCATTAAAATAGTTAATTACAAATTTGCAAAAAATTTTCCGATGTCAAACATGCAGCTCATATTGCTTTAAATTGTAAATAACCTTCATCCGACACAGCCAAATAAGTAGACAATGCTTACTTAATATAATGGATGAAAAAAGTTCCACGACAGTACATAATGAGCATAATAGAGTAAAATCTAATGCTTTAGTAGGTTATATAGGCCTCAACTGTCCATTCTGTGAGAAGAAAGAACTATTGTCGGTCCTAACGGCAATCCAATAGTTCTGACTTCTCTCAGAATGGACGGTGTTTAGCTGTTCTTATGCAAAAATTAATAAAAATATTGTTCGAGGTTTAATTTTGAAAATTCAATTAAGACACAGTAATATCATATAAGATGTGCAGTTCATAAAAGATAAAATATATTGAGTAAGTATCTGAAATATACCAGACAAATGTGACGCGCCAAGCAAAAACCTCCCTTATCTCTATTATGACGTAACGTCAAAAGACGCGTCTAAAGTCAATAAGGTAAAAGCGAC